ACAACACTGGATTTAGCAGGCCAGTGCTCAAACCACTGAGCTATCCGTCCCCCCGCATAGCAGCAGTCAAAAAAGCAAATGATGGTAGGGCGCACAAGGAATGAAAACACTGAAAATCTAATGTCATAAATCCATGGTACCCTCTCCCCCATTCTGGAATATTTTCTTGAGCTCTGGTTGCTCATCTAAAAACAATAAATAAATACAGTGGGAACAGAGGGCATTCAGGTGACAAAAATGGTCAGAGGCCTGGAGAAGCTTTCATATGAAGACAGATTGAAAAGATTGGGACTTTACTGGATTAGGGTGAAAAAAAAGACTTAAGGGGGGATATGGTAGAAATACACAAAATAATGAGTGTTATAAAGAGGGTAAGTCAGGCACTCCTACTTTACCCTCACTCATAATAGAAGAGAGATTCAATTCAAGTAAAATCCAAAATATTAAAAAGCATATAATGGAATCTTTTAGTAATCTTGCTAAGATTGTGGCATAAATGATATCATGTGGCAATGAGTTCCACAGGTTAGCTATGCATGGTAAGAAAAAGTATTATACATCTGAAAGGATGAGACCATCCAATGTTTGTGTGAGCATGTGTGATATCTATATAAAAATCTTATGTAAGGGATACAAACCCTCTCACTCCAGGTCATAAGGTAACCACTAACTGAGGAAGCAACTTCCCTCATGGGCAGGTTATTCTCCGCCCCCTCCCCCTTCAACCTTCCTCTCAACCAGCTGGTACTAGCCAGTGAAATAGCTGGATCGTTGGTCTGATCCAGTATGAAAATTCGGATGTTCCAGCAGATGTGTTGATGCAGCACGTCCCATCCTCCTGCCCCAAAAGGCTTAGACGTCAACCCCATTTTTACCTGAACCCAACTCTGGAAATTTCTTGCCCTTTGAGATGAAATCTTTACTGCCCAAATCATCTGCCTGGAAGTCTCAAAAATCATCTCCCATCTTCCTGATTGGGAAAAATCAAGGGCAACAAAGGAGATATCCTCTAGAGCAGCAGAGGCTGGTCTTTGCCAGTAAATAGATGGGTTCCTCTTATTAGATTACAACCCACCAAAATGGACTCTACACTTAGAAGAACTCAGCTCCTATCTGTTGCCAACAAAGCATTTCACTTCACTGTGAATCACACACTATCACACTCATCCCTATCCCCCACAAAAGATATCCCCACCGTACAAATTGGTGTTGCTGGGTAACAGGTGCAGTTAATCATTATTTCAATGAAGTGTTTTTCCTGAATCAGAACAAAAAAGTGGGCACTACACCAGCTGGGATTTCCCCTCATGATGTTGACAGAGATAGGCATTGCCTTGATCCAGTGCTTGGCATGGGGAGAAACACCCCTGAATGCTAACTAAGCACTTGGGACGACACAGCAGCAGTTACATCAGAAAATCCTCCCTGCTTCCAAGAGACTTCTGGACATTATGAGACCTGCACTTGGCATCAGCATATCCTATCTATTGCTCACCACTTCAGAAGATTAGCCTAGTTCCTTTGAATGCTACACTAGGGCAAACCCTGACAGATCTTAATTTACAAGTCTCTGCATTATCCACACCAGATATGAGACTTCATCACACCAATCACACCTGCAGCAGCACTTTGACAGCACTAATACGCCACCGAGAATTGACTGGTACAAGGAGTAACGGTTGCAATGGGTGATCTGAGGAGAGGAGGCGGTCAGTAGAAATGGACGACAGACAAGTGAGTGGAGAACACAAGATCAGAAGTTATTACGGTTGGGCACCTTGAAGTCCGAGAGAGATGCCATCAGCTCATCCAGTTCTCTTGTGGCTGAAGAAGCAGATATGCGAGTCTGCTGCTGGCTGGAGGTGACCCGCTGTGGGCTGCTCACCTCACTCTGGTTCACAGTGATGGCAGGGCTGATAAAAAACAAAACCACACACGTTACATTTGAACATGGTGGTGGTGAAAAATCCCAGGCGGACAGCCTCAGCTCTTGGGATTCTGTTTATTCCCAGGACAGGTACAGCAAGGAAAACAGCACAGCCAGATTCCCCACACTTGGACCCCAAATACGCCGCAACAGGCCTTCCAGGAAATCCGCTTTTGTGGCACTTCCAACCCTTTGCTCTCTCTAGGAGACTGCCAAAGATGCCAATTAGTGCAGTTGTGGTAGTTTGTGATACGAACAACCATCCATTAGGCACTAGACTGAGACCCACCCAATTTATTTGGTCAGATGGTGACAATTTTCAGTCAGCATAACTGGGTTCAAAACAGAATGAGATAAGTTCACGGAGGACAGGTCCATCTGGATTTACCATTTGGGGATACATGTTCAAAGGGACCCATTATACACTTATCTGTTTTTCCAACGTTAGCAGCTTCTGACTCAATGGCAGTTGCAGTAAATCTGAGCCCAAAAAAGAAGCAGACATGGCCACAATCTTCAACTTCCTCCTTGACCTTCCCCAGTTTGGAGAGAGCAAATCCCCTCATTACCAAGGAAACAGGAGGCCATCTGCCCAGCCAGTACTGCACTCTCCTAACTGCTGTCATTAAATTGTGTGGAGTCACTAACCCCCCTCTGTCCCAACGCCCCCGGCACCCAAGGGAACAGTAGCTGGGTCAGTACTCACACTGGACTTGGCACAGAGCTCTCCAGTTCATCCAAAAGGCTCTCCACACTGGGACGCACATCCTCAATCCCACGCCCTCCGTTCCGCTTTGGCTTCTCTTTTGTAGGGGGTGCTGCCTTCACCCCCAAAGAGCTAGTGCTCTCTGGGGCAACATAGTGAGGTCCAGTCCCACTGGGCAGGGAGGGGCTCCTGCTGGCTTCATCTTACAGGAAAAGAAACAGAGTCAATAGACCCTCACTTACAGTGGAAAGAGAGGCAGGTACAATATGGGGAGGGCAAAAAGGAGGCTGAACTGGGCAGGGGAGAAAAAAAAAAAAGAAGAGTTACAGGGAGATTTATACATGGAGGGAGGTGTGAGATCCAGGCATCAACATACCTAGCACTGACACATGGGTCACCCCTTCCTACCTGTTGGGAAGCCACTAGGGGGATTGTGCTGAACAGTGTTCAGTTCTAGGAGCAGTCGGTCCAGTTCTGACAGGTTGCTGCCCAATGAAGA